CATTTTTTTTTTTTTTTTGTACCGGGGATCGAACTTGGGACCTTGTGCTTGTGAGGCAGGCGCCAGAACCACTGAGCTAAATCCCCAGCCCCTAAGCTACCATTTTTAATGACTAGTATGTCCTTATCAATCAGTTCAAACAGGATGAAAGAAGGAAGGGTAATATGGTCTTTGGAAATATATGTTTCAGGTTAGACGGACTTGAGTCCAAGTCCTTGGTCTGCTAGTTAGTAACTGGAAAATTTTAGGCAAGTATTTAAATTTCACTAAATAGTATAGAACTTGGATAACAGTATCATTAGTCTTATGATCCTTTTGCGGGACTATGAAATAATGTATGTAATATGTCTTTTGGCATATAATAATTACTCAAGGATCCACTATAGCTTTATTTTCTGGCTATTCACAGAGAACTCTGGCAAGGCTATTGCCAAGACTAAAGAATAGACAATGACTCATAGTAAATGCTTTCAATTTTTGATGATCTGAAAGTGAGGCATGCTGAAAGTGTCTGAACTTTGCCAGGGTTTCATAAACTGTAGAAACATACAGAAACTAACACTGTTAAACCCTTGAACACATTAACAGACAAGGCAATAATAGTTGTCTAACTGTTTCAATTCATGTAAAATTAATAATGTTATTGTCTCATCACACCTATGATTCTATATTTCACTTAATCTTATCTGCTTGATTAGAAGAAATACATGGTGAATGTTGTAAAAGTACTGCTCCCCTTTCCATGTGATTCTCATCTGACATAATAAAAGTAGCACAGTAAGAAAAATTTCTATTTGAACCTTGAGAGCAAAATGTTTCTCTGTAATTCTGTCCCCTTCAGATCCTAGAACTGAGGCATAGATCCTTCTAAATGATGCTAATGTCATCATTCACTCTAATGCAGATATCTATAAATTTTCAACACTTTCCAGGAGGAGAGTGGACGAAGTTTACCAGAAAAGAAATGCTTCTGGAAATGGACCCTCAATTCTCCTGGTAGATAGAAATTATTTAGGGAAAAGGCAGCTTTCCTGTGATTTTTCAAATTATACCTCACAGGTAATCACCTTCTATCTGAAAGGCCAATTTGCATTATGTTAGACATCATTTAGAAAGGAAAGAGCAGATCATTGATGAAGTCCTAGGACATCGATCAGCACAGAAATGATTCCAGCTACAAGCCAGCTCCCCCTATCTGGACAGGCAGAGAATGGATGGAAGCTCCATGTCAAAGCACAGATAGGTCTGAGGAGGAAGACTCTATTTTGATAGATGAAAACACAACTTCAAGAATGTTGCATTTCCACAAAATGTTGGGAAGTTGTAGCAACACACAGAATGGATTGGTTCAAATCAATACTAGAGAGAAAACATCTTTGTGTATAAATATAGGCTGTAATCCAAGTAGAGGTCAAACGGTAAGAGTAGAAACTTCCCAGATAAGAGCAACAGTCACAGCACAAAGCAGTCTAGCAGCTTACATATCATATAACAAAGCCAAGAGCCCATCTTTTTGAATTCTGCTGTAAGTAGAAAAGAAAAAAATACATATATAGACAAAGAAGAGAGGGAGAGGGAACTAGGAGGAGAGGAGAGGAGAGAAGGTGGTAAAGGGAGGGAGAGAAGGAGACAGAGAGTATCACTGCCTCTCAGACCCCAGTGAATTTATAAACACAATTCTTTAAAACACAGTTGACATTTTTAAAAATTCATAGCCCTTTTAGAGGTCCTGAATGTCTCCCTTTGCATTTCATGCTGTGCACTAACTTAAGTTGTATCTATGAACCTATTCAAAGACATCCCAGCAGCATGTCTTCAGTGTTCTGGTGAGGAGTGAGTCTGAAGGATGAGTGTACTTTTAAAAAAATTTTTATTTTATTGGTACATTTTAGGTATACAATATAATGACATGCATCATTGGAAATTTGCACCTTTACATAGTCTCTCTTGGTTCTTATTTTTCCTCCTTCCCCTGCCCTCCTTTCAACCCCTCCATCTCTCCCTATTTACAAAGACTTTGTTTCTATTGTTTCATTTTCTCATATTAATTCCATTCCCTTCTTTCCTTTCCCCTATCCCTCCCACTTCCCCTTCCCCTTTGCCTCTTTTCTTCCTATTTAATGTCTTTCTGTGGAGTGCCCATGTTGGAGAGTCAAAAGCATGAGAGATGCAAATGAAAACAACACTGAGATTCCACCTCACCCCAGAAAGAATGGCTGCTATCATGAAATCAACCAATAACAAATGCTGGCGGGGCTGTGGGGAAAGAGGAACCCTGCTCCATTGCTGGTGGGAGTGCAGACTGGTGCAACCACTGTGGAAATCAGTATGAAGATACCTCAAAGAACTAGGACTGGAAGTCCCATTTGACCCTGCTATTCCCCTGCTGGGTATCTTCCCCAAAGAATTAAAAGAATCTTACCATAGTGATATATGTGCACCCATGTTCATAGCAGCACAGTTTGTAATAGCTAAAACTTGGAAACAGCCCAAATGCCCACCAACTGGAGACTGGATAAAGAAGATGTGGTTTTTAAAAATAAAATGGAGTACTACTCAGCCATAAAGAATGAGAAATTAGAGACATTTATAGCTAAATGGATGCACATTGAAGCGATACTCTTAAGTGAAATAAATAGGACACACATGTGTAAATACCGAATAGTTTTTCTCCCATTCTTTATATATATTTCAGGTGGTTTTAGTTCTCCCTGTCCCTGGATGTAAACTGAGACAAAGCTCAACACTTTCTGGCCAATCTGAGGTCAAACTCAAAGCCATGGTTACTTTTACGTCATAAAACATTCTCAATTCATGAAGTGAAATGTCCAATCCCAGCTGAAAATTACATTTCTGAACCGAATGAAGCTGCAGCCTTCCCCTTCTTCCAGCTGGGATCTGCCACGGATGTGAACCACTGCCAGAGAAGTGGCTACAGGTGGTCATGGGTGGGGCTCCGGGCGGAGGAACACTTGTTGAGGGACCTGCATGGTGTTTGCTGCTCTGTGTGACCGAGTCACCACATTGGGAGGAGAAATAGGGACGGAGGCTGGAGCAGGCCATGAGGATCAGATCCTGCAGATCCTTGCAGGACTTGCTGAGGAATCTGGATCTTCCCCAGCAACGGTGTCTTTAGATAATCGTCTCCCCGAGCAGACAGTGAGCCCCTGGAGGTCAGGAGCCCTGCACTGGTCGCTGCAGAGTCCTTTGGGCCTGCTGTGGGCCTGCTGCCTGAGGGGTGAGCTCGAGCATTTGCTGAAGAGGACTAATAGCAGATGAAGTGATGTCTCTCTTCTGTTGTCTTATGTTTTTTTTTTTACTGCTTTCTAGTGATAAGGGAGGCTGGGAGGTAGGAATGTCTTCTCGGTTGTGTCTTCTTATCACTTTAGCGAAGGGAGCACCCACCCTCCCTGCTCAATGCGCTGGCCCTGCTTTCACTCACAGACCTTCCCAAGGAAGCTCCTCTTGACACAGAGAGGATTTGTCCCAAAGCAAAGGTTACAAGGAGCTGAAACTCAAGACTTCCTCCCAGTCTCCTGAAACAAACCCATCTCCCTGTCCATTTGGTTTCCCTAGGAGTTGAGGATTGGCATGAACACCCAGAGCAAACAAAACAAACACCTTTTACAACCGAAAGAGAAATTTTGGCTCAATACAAGGTTGGAGCCTTGTTAGCAGAAAGCACTGCTGCTGCATAAACGTGAGAGTCATCTAGAGGAAAATCACTGGCTGGCACACATGACTAGTTGAGCCCTTAGCTAAATTAGCTCTTTGCTCACAGAGCACTGTTTTTGTTGAGACAGTAATTGACAGCCTGGTTATTCAGACCTAGTTATGTGGCAGACATATGCTCAAAAATGAGATGAGCCCGTCATTTTAAGTAAAACAACTGCCAAAACCTGTTAGCAATGACGAAAATTGAGCTTTTCCCCCAGTGACTAGGGAGGCTGAGGCAGGAAGATTATAAATTCAAGGCCAGCCTGGGCTACAAAACAACAACAAAACAAAAACAAAAAAAAGAGGAAGTAAAAGAATTTAAGACTAAAATCTTTGAAAACTGTTGTCTTTCGATATGGTTTAGTCTTGTTTCCCCCCCTTCTGTTGCCATGTTAAATTACCTGACCCTAAATTTAGGGCCTTAATTTGGATACTAATTATATTTTTTCCTATTGATTTTGGCCATAAGGCCAGCAAGTCAGAATTGTTTGGCATGTAGGTCTGTCATCTATCAAGTAAATTATCCTTAGTAGCTTCATCTCCTGTGTGGCCGTGCCATTCATTCATATATTCATTCATTCATTCATTAAACATTGAGCACCTTTTAAGTTCTCTAGAATTGTATCTTTATCTCCATTCAGACTGGGTTATGTGGTTTAATTTGCTCTTGTTAATCTGTATAGTTTCTGGAAATATGTGGAAAGATTCTGTTTCAGGCAGTTATGATTACCCATAGGAATCTAGATGTCTCTTTCTGCTTAAAATAAAAAGAAATTTCCCCGAAGGCTGTTTCTGTTTATAGACAATTAGTCCACATGTACATACACACATCCACAGTGCCCTGTAACACTGAAACAGCCAAGTCTGACTGAGAAATGATGAATCACTTTGAAAACAAGTTCCTCTGACATCGGTACCTTTCTATTTACATGAATCTTTAAAATTCTCCGGTGGAATAGGTAGGAGGAATTGTCCGAGGGGCCAATTTTCCAACCCAGCCCCTAGCCTCTAGGCCTGGAGGTCACTGAACGTTCTCATTCTTTTCTTCATCTTCGCCACAGTGCTGGTTTCAGGGTCTCTATTGTCCAGTCCTCTATTTCTTCTCTTGCACCTTCAGTGCCATCAGAAATTAGTATGGGTCAGAACCTCAGCTTGAAAGAGAACAGGGAGATAACACAGGGAAAACAAAAAAGAAAAGAAAAGAAAAACATACTCAGCCTTTACAACCAAACAAAAGCTCCTCCAAATATAAGAAGCCATTCTCACCCTCTCATATTACCTCAAGTATTAGTTAAGTAAGCATCATCCGCCTCCCTTCACAGCTTGGCGTCCACACCAAGAGGGCAAACCCACTACACCACCTGCACTCACTCTAGGACCCTGTGGGGACTGTTCTCCCCTTTCTGCACAGAGAAACAGCCAAGAGAGGCAAGGTCACATCTTTGTCCAAGGTCACATCTCAAGAACACATGTGGGCACAATGTGGTAGTGCACACACACCTGTAATCCCAGCTACTCGAGAGGCTGAGGCAGGAGGACTGCAAGTTTGAGTCCAGTCTGGGGAACATAGTGAGATCCAGTCTCAAAATAAAAAGGGCTGAGATGTAGCTCAGTATTCCCTGGGTTTAATCCCCAGTACAGCCAAAAACAAAAGCAAAAACAAAAACAAAAATAAAAACACCCACACATAACCTACATCAGCCCTTTCTGGAGGCTGAAGCCTACTCTTCCATAGGGGCTCAGAGAAAATAACCCATATCCATTAAGCTATGTTTTTAAAATATTCTTTTTATCCTTTCTTAGAAGTTCTAGAGATCCAAAAGGACTTGGGAAAATCATGTGACTTTGGATTATAAATAGCTTACCCAAGTTTTCAGCTGGAGTATTCTAGGCTTGTCACCTGTACCTGAAACAAGCTCAATCATTATCCCAGGGCACACTCCACAAAGTGCTCCTTTTTGTGTACCAAGGTGTGAAACAGGTTAGAAAGTACTAGATTGAAAGAGTGAGGTTTCTCTGATGTTTTTTGTGGCTAAGAACATTGAACTGAGGTGGTCACCACAACCTAGAAAAGGAGCTATGGCCTTATGAGGAGATGGACCTATTGCTACAACGCCTCACTTGATCTTAGCTAGAAGACAGAGAAGTGATGGGCTGTAGCTATGGGACTTTGGAAAAATGATTTAGCTAAGCCTTAGTTTTCTCATCTATGTAACGGAGAAAATAGTAATAGTTGTCTCTCCAGGTATTTTGCAAGGATCCAATGAGATGTTGCTAGTGGCGAGCACACAGCTCAATAAAAGCAGCTGCTATGCCTGTTAATTGCACCTGGCCTCTCAGCACTGGTGGCTTGGGGCCAGTTTGGGCTTGCAGACTGCTCCCGGGGCATCATTTCACTAATCAGGGAGAACATACTCATTGAACATCTCCCTAAAAACTTTCATCACAACCAAGGAAAGAAATCTGAGGGGAGAAAAGGAATCACATCCTTATGTCACATGTAGGTTTGATGTGACAGGACACATGAGGGAAGCTACCAGGGATTCTCTTTGCATGAGGATCCTCGAGGTTTTCTGGGAAACATGAAAACAAGTTGAATCAGATAGTTTGTTCCTGGACCAAGATACTAGAGAAGGAACAGAACAAAATCCACATCTTAAAAACTTGGGGTTATGTTCCCATTTTTTATTTCTGGATAAAAAGTTACTTCAGATTGTGGACAAGGTCAGTGCTAAAGGGAGAAAAGGTAAGCCCAGAGGGTTGGGAGCTGGGCCAGCAGCACTATCCCCAAGGAAAGCCCACAGCTATTGTAGACTGAAAAAACAGTTTGCAGTTCTACTCCAAAAGTGACTCCTTCCACATGGTAGGCTAGAGTTGGAGAGGATATCCAGTGTAGCACCCACCGGATTTGAGAGGATGTAATCAGGAGCTATTTTGAGAAGGAGTTGGTTGTTTCGGTCTGAGCCACAGAACAACTACAGAACAGCTTCACTTCAGGGTTTCCACTGTTATCCTACCACAGCGGCTGGGTGAGAGACAGTCACAAGAGACAGTTGTGATGAGGATGCTAGCTAGACACAGACCTTCTGAGAGGTTTGAGCTCAGGCTGAAGGGACACAGTGCCCCACCTTCTGTGGTGAGAAGCCAGGCCCAATGTATGTGGCTTTTGGAGTTGGCTATATCTTGAAAGCACTGGCATTAAGTCTAGCAGTCTGCTTGAACCCCTACCCTGCTGCTGACATCCAACACAGAGACTAGCAATATGATTGCTTTTCCTGTCTACCAACTTGAGCACAGACATGCCTTATCTTGCTTGGACAGTTGCCACAGCCTGGGGTATGTATGGACAGAGCCTCTGGAGCAGGGGAAGCACCTCACAAGCCCAGAGGCCATAAAGCTAGGCAGAGAAAACGATGACTTGCTGGATTCCAAGACTAAAGATCTTGGAAAGAAATCACTCATTTAAAAACACAGAGGATTTTTTTTTTTTACTCATCTTTTTTTTCTTCAATAGTTTTTGTGGTTTGAAATTGTTTTCTTTTGTCTTTTAACTTCTTGATTCTTTTTTTCCTTTACTTTGTTCTCTGATTTTTCTTTTTTCTTCTTTATTCTTTTCTGTTACTTTTATTTAATTCTATTAATTTTCTTTTACTTTTTAACAGGATTATTTATCTCACTTTCTCTCCTCATCTTCCATTGCTTGCTTTTTCAAATTTTACTTTCTTTTTTCTCCCATTCTTTGCCCCCTCTATCTTTACAATTTTAACCATTAAGCTTTATTATTATTTAGATAGTTAACTCTATGCATTACTGTTGGATTCTTCTCTATTGTTAGTGGAAGTATGGTTGTTGTATTTATTAGATATTTACTATATATCAATGTTTGGCTTGTCTTAGTGTTTATACTGTAATTATAGATCTCTTTTCTACTATATATCAAGTTTGTCTTGTCTTAGTGTTTATACTACAATTATAGATCTCTTTTCTATTGTTATGGTGGTACATTATTGGTTCTTATGGTATGTCAAAATCAGCTATTATTGTTGCTGATTTTGTTGCTGTTGCTAGGGTGGCATAGTTGTTGCTATTAATTGTTTTTTTTCTGTATGCCAATATCTGTATTGCATTTGGGTCATTAACAGTACTTCAGTCCATTCCTGGAGAACTGTATGCTTGAAAATTACTCTGCATCCTCCCCTCCCAAATGCACAGAAGTGGCTGGATCTTGGAACAGAGGCAATGGCCTGTAGTTAGCCATGCCAGGAGTGCATCACTGAAAAGCAAACACTAACCAAAGAGGTTTCCATAGTAGCAACCATGTCTTTTCACTGTAATCAACCCATAAACCCCAGAGCACAGACACACAAATAGAACGTGAGAACACAGGGCAAAAAAATGCCCCCCAAATTCCCGACTCCCCCAGAGCTGATTCATGGGGAATAGATGGGGAGGAAATCAAAAGCCACACAATTGAATTATTCAAATAATGAAAGAGGAAAAGAAAAAAACTAAGGTCTCGGTAAGCTCAAAGAAGATATAACTAAACAGATAATGAACTTGATAAAGTGATCAGTGAGTTTACAAAAAATACTAATAAAAATCTAGCTGAGCTAAACAAAATAATACAAAACATTAAAGACCAGAGAAAAATAAGAACAATCCAAATCTGAAATGAGTACAAAGAAAGAAATTATAAAATTAGAGCAGAAATTAATGAAATGGACTAAAAAACATACAAAGAACCAAGGAATTGAAGATTTGTTTCTCCAAAAGAATAAATAAAATAGACAAACTCTTAGCAAATCTTACCCCCCAAAAGAGAAGACACAAATCAATGAAATTATAAATGAAAAAGTTGACGTTATGACACCATTGCAATACAGAAGATTATTAGTAACTACTTCAAAAACTTGTGCTCTAATAAAATGGAGAACTCAGAAGATATAGATAGATTCTTAGATACTCATGAATTACCAAAACTGAGCCAAGAAGATGTAAAAACCCTAAATAACCCAGTAGCAGACAATGAAATTGAAGCAATTATAAAAAATTTACCAACTAAGAAAAGATCAGGACTCAGTGGATTCACTGTTGAATTCTATAAGAATTTCAGGGTAGATATAATCCAATACTTCTCAAACTCTTTAATGAAATCAAAATCGAAAGAGGAGTACTCTCAAAGTCATCCCTGAAAGCTAACATTACCCTGATTCCAAAAACAGATAAGGACCCAACCAAAAACCAGACAAAGCCAGAGCCACAGGCCAATCTTTTTAATGAACATAGATGCAGAAATCCTCAACAAGATACTGGCAAACAGAATGCAATAAATTATCAAAACATCATACATCATGACCAAGCAGGTGTCATCCCAGGGATGCAAAGAAGGTTTGACATATACAAATCAATAAATGTAATATATCACATAAACAGAAGCAAGGACAAAAATCACATGATCATCTCAAAAGATGCAGAAAAATCCCAACATCCGTTCATGATAAAAACCCTGAAGAAAATACGTATAGAAAGACATTATCTCAATCTGATAAAAGCCATTTATGACAAACCTATGTCAACATCATGGGGAAAAACTGAAAGCTTTCCCTCTAAAATCAGGATGGAACAAGACAAGAATGCCCACTATCACTACTCCTTTTCAATATAGTTCTTGAAACATTACCCAGTGCAATCAGGCAAGAGAAAGAAATAAAAGGGACATGTGTAGGAGGGGATGAAGTCATTATCAGTATTTGCAGACAATATGATTCTCCAAAAAATTACCCCAAGACCCCTGGAATTAATAAACAAACTCAACACTGTAGCAAGTTACAAAAATCAACACACAAAAATTAGTAGTGTTTCTGTAGACCAATAATGAACTCACTGAGAAAGAAATTAGGAAAACAATGGCATTCATAATAGCATCAAGAAAAATTAAATACTTAGGAATTAACCTTACCAAGGAAGTGAATAACCTCTACAACAAAAACTAGAGTTAGGGGCTAGGGATTTAGCTCAGTGGTTCCACCACCTGCCCCTCAAGTGCAAGGACCTGAGTTCCATCCCCGGTACCCCCCAAAAAACAAAAAAAACCCCCCTCTACAGTAATTTGATAAAAGAAACTGAAGAGGTCACCAGAAAAAGGAAAGATTATCTCCTGTTCCTGAAAAGGCAAAACCAATATTGTCAAAATGACCATGCTTCAAAAGCTGATATGCAGATTTAATGCAATCCCAACCAAATACCAATAGGACTCCTCACAGAACTAGAGGAAACAATTCTAAAATTCATATGGGACCAGAAGAGATCAAAGATAGCAAAAGGATTTCTGAGCAACAAGAGCAAAACAAGAAGCATCACAACCCCAGACTTCAAGTTATATTACAAAGCTACAGTGACAAAATAGCATGGTGCTGGCACAAAACAGACTTGTGGATCAGTAGAACAGAGTATACACTAACAATCCTAGGCACATTCAGCTATCTGATCTTTGACAAAGGGTCCAGAAACATATGCTGGGGGAAAGACAGCCTCTTTAAGAAATGGTGCTGGAAAGCAGAAGATTGAAACTAGACCCATTTCTCTCATGATGTACTAAGCGAAAGTCAAAATGGATTAAAGATCTAAATGTTAAAACAGAAATAATCTGCAGGAAGATAAAATAAATAAAACTCTTGAAGGCATAGGCAAGGAATTTCTGATCAGAACCAGAGAGGGAAGGGGGGGGAGAGAGAGAGAGAAAAAGAGAGAGAGAGAGAGAGAGAGAGAGAGAGAGAGAGAGAGAG